CCTGCCTAGGCAGGGTGTTGGACTAGAAGACCTCCAAGGTCCCTTCCAACTCTGCTATTGTATATAAGACTGTTATCATGATGATTAGACCGACTAACATGGATTGCATGGTGCTATAGTCTTGTCCCCTATTGATGAGGCATAGACTCAAAATCATGTGAAGTTTTAGCACCGCTGTATAAATTCCTTAGTTAAGATCACATCTGGAATCCTGCATCCAATTTTGGTCACCACATTACAAAAAAGATGTTGAGACTTTGGAGAAAGTTTAGAGAAGAGCAACTAAGATGATTAAAGGCCTGGAGACAAAAACATATGAAGAATGGCTGCAGGAATTGGGTACGTCTAGTACAGAGCAAAGAAGGACTAGGGAGCACATGATAGTAGTATTCCAGTATTTGAGGGGCTGCCACAAAGAAGGGGGGGGGTGTCAACTCATTTTCCAAAGTACCAGAAGGCAAAACAAGAAACAATAGATGTAAATTAATCAAGAGAAGAAATCTAGAATTAAGGAGAAGCTTCCTAACAGTGAGAACAATTAAAATAGAATAGAATTAACCAGCGGAATGGTGTGTCTTCAGAAGTTGTAGGTGCTTAATTACTCAAGGTTTTTAAGAAAATACTGGATAGCCATCTGTCTGAAATGGAATAGGGTCTCCTCCTTAAGCAGGCAATTGGACTAGAAGACCTCCAATATCTCTTCCAGCTCTATTCAGATTGAAATATTGATCTCCAGTTAAATAAAATGCATGAATTAAGAACAGATGCCACTAAACTGGCTATGTACAGATAGTCCTCGAGTTATGAGTGTAATGGAGCTTGCCCATTCCATTTGTTACCCGAGGATTCGTGGCAGTGGATCTCAAACCTTGAACGGAATCCCTCTCTTTCGGCCATGCATTCACTAATCGAATGCGAGGCTTGTTAAGTGCATGAGGTATTTCAGGATGGGGAAGGCCATGGGGGGGGGGGCTAGTGATGGAACAGGCCACCTACCTAAGACCACCCAACTATCTCATGTTCTCCACAATTCCTTCCCCCCAACCTGCTGTGCTGGGTTTCTTACCTTGTGAAGATCTAGCAAGCAGTTTCCTCTCCAGCCACTCAGCTGCGTGCGCCCCTCCGATGCTCTGTCGTGGCCTCCACAGGCCTTGCATGGCACATTGCCGGTCGAAAGGGAGCTTCTGGGGGACAGATCCTCAGAAGCTCCATTTCAGCCGGCAATGTGCAAAACATTATGTTGCAGAGCCTTTGTGGTTGTTCGTAAGGGCGAAGAACTATCTTGGTGCTGCAAGATTCGTAGTTTCGGGACTTGTTCGCAAACACTAGAAGGTGCTTATCGTGCAACTTCAAACATTCACTAGGGGAATGCTTGTAACCTGGGGATTACCTGCAATAGCTTTACTTAAGTGTTTACTGGAAATATCAATTGCTGTGCATTATCCCTAAATCAAAGTGTTGCTAGGATAAACAGGACCCAGAGTGATTATATATTGTCATTAAGTAGCTGGTTTAACATAAATAATTTAACCACACGGCTTCTCTTACTTTCCAACTATTTAATCTTGATGTACTCATCAAAAGTTTCTGCTTCTTTAGTTAGTTTGCCCTATTTAAAGTCTTTTGGACTTTATAATATAAATAATATAATATAATATAAAGTCAATATAAAACAAGCAACAAAGTTGTGAGCTAAGTTCTGGTAGGGGGGAAAAAAGGGGTTTGATACCGAATAAATTTCCTAAGTTACTGACTTTGCTTCTAGAAATTCTGTTTTTAATGTAAGTTGCCAAAAGCAGTTTTTTTTAAAAAGAAAAGAAAAGTGTGCAACCCTCTTTGTGTTAAGATGAACACTGTGTTTTAGGGGGCTGCTCTCATATTCATCTCAGTTGTAGTTGCAAACATTATTGATTGCCTCAGAATTTATTCTATGACACTTGTTATGTATTGGAAGATCCACCCTCTCTGTAACTTTGGACATTTGTTATTTGGATTGTTTTAACTTGTGAATAGTTGGGGCAGTAAGTATGCAAATTTTTAAAATAAAAAAAAGGAAAGGAGAAAAAAATATTCAATAGACATAGTTTACTTGAGATTATTAAAATAGAAATTGAGTTCTATCATGCTTCATGTTTCTGACATGAATTATCTTGAACCACTCACTCTTTCCCGAATGCTCCTGCCTTTTCCTGAATCAGTCTTCTTAACCAGGACAGGAACTCTTCTTTGTCATTGTCCATCAAAATTATCTGAAGACTCACTCCAAATGTAGCACTAACACAGTTAAAATGTTAATACAGATTTCTGTTATTAAAATCAGTAGTGAAAGAGGCACACAGACAAGAGCCAGATCAATTCTGCTAACACATTAAGCGTGTACATTTCCTGAAAGATAAATGTTTCTTTTGCGATCTGATTAGATTCAATCCCCTTTTCCCATTCCAGTTGAAAAAGCTTCTATAAAGTGTAATAAATCCCTGCCTTTGCTTCTGTGTCTCAGGAGGATGTCAGTGTATGGCATCTTAATGCTCTTTCAAGGTGAGCATGATTAGGAAGCATAGCAACAATGAGCAACAATCTGCCTTTACTCCATTTGTATTCTGACCTATTTCCGAGCACAAAAGAAAAATGTATTTATATATAAACAACTTTGAAATGAACAAAAGATTTCCCCCCCTTCTTTTAGGCTCTTGCTTTATGTCAGTACCTGGAATCAAATCAAGAGGAAATTGACTTCAAAGAAAAGAAAGTCCTTGAAATTGGAGCTGGAACAGGTCTAGTGTCTATTGTGGCAAGTATATTAGGTAACTTGTACACTGATTTTTCGGACTATAAGATACCATAGGGATTTTTTTTTCCAGTCACGCACTTCAAACATGGAGACTTTCACTGCTCTGTCTCTCCTAAATGTTCATTCAACATGGATCAATTTGACGCCAGTCCAATTTCCCCCTTTCCATTGATTTTTCATCATTCTGTGTACATGTATTGTGTTATTGCTACCCATTATGCACATTAATGCTGATTTACTATGCTCAGCAAAACTATAATAGCTAAGAATGGCTCACCTAAAAGGCATTTTGCAGTATTTTACTGTTAGGTAACTGAGGATTTAATAGCTGCCAGCTGATGTAAGGTTGTAAACTGTAATCTGTAGGGTGATGCAATGAGGATGATTCAGCAATACATGTATCACCTCTGATGGGGTCCACACAAGTCATTTACCTCTTTGAGAAGTGTCTATATATAGGAAGCCATTAGAGGGTGTTTCTCTCTCTCTCGTCGTGTATCTCATTTCTCTCCTTGTGTCCGTAGCTGAGTGGTAAGGGATTTATCTACATGAGTATGTCTGTATATACGTATTTATAAACCACTATTAATTGTCTAAAGCAGTGATGGCTAACCTTTTTGCCATCATATGCCAAAAGGGGTGTGTGTGCAGGAGGGTCATACACGCATGCCCTCCCCCATGCATGTGCACGACCCCCCCCCTTTTGGTGCGCAATGGCACTGTTGACCTGTTTTTCACCCTCCCCAGGCTCGAGGCTTTCTAGGAGCCTGGAGAGGGCGAAAATGACCTCCCCCACCCCCCACAGGCCCTCTGGAGGCTGGAAACAGCCCATTTTCCAACTTCTGGTTTGCATATTGGGCCGTTTTTCTCCCTCTAGAGGCTTCAGGAAAGCCTCCTGAAACCCCCAGAGAGAGAAAAATGCCCCAACACACAAACTGGAAGTCCATTTCCGAACTTCTGGTTTGCGTGTTGGGTTGTATTTCGTTCCGGAAGGCGAAAAACAGCTGAAAATGAAGGCTGAAATTAGCTGGCTCTGCATGCCACTGTGGTACGTGTGCCATAGGTTCGCCATCACGGGTCTAAAGACTCTGTGTGCTGTGTTTTGCTCCTGGGTTTATCTCATACTAATAGTCATGCTGCCAAAACTCTGACATTTACTCATAAAAGTAGTGTTTAAAGAATAACTATAAGTAAATTCACATCTTCTAAACCATATATGATTTGCTTGATTTTTGCTCAGTATGGTGTGCAAACAGAGCAATTCTAGCTTATTTAATATACAGGTAGTCCTCAACTATGACCACAATTGAACCCCAAATTCCTGTTAAGTAAGACATTTGTTAAGTGAATTATGCCCCATTTTACAACCTTTCTTGCCACAGTTGTTAAGTGAATCACTGCAGTTAGTAGCCCGGTCTGTTAAGTGAATCTGGCTTCCCCCATTGCTTTTTATTGTCAGAAGTTCACAAAAATTGATCACCTCACTTTGGGACACAGCAATGGTCATAAATATGAACCAGTTGTCAACCATCTGAATTTTGATCACATGATCATAGGGATGCTGGAAAGGTCATAACTGTGAAAAAAGGTCATAAATCACTTTTTTCAGTGCCATTGTAACTCTGAAGGGTCAATGTTGTAAGTTGAGAACTACTTGCATTACAGTGATGTAATCCACGATGCAATTCCAGTCCATTTTGTGATTTGCTGGTGCAGACAACTTAAGTACATTGATGGTTGAATTAATATTAGGACCTCCCTCTCTTTCCCCAAGTGACAATTTTTTCAAGGCAGGTTATGGACTGAACAATGTTATTTTTTTTTAATCTTTCAGGAGCTTTTGTCACAGCTACTGACTTGCCTGAGGTACTTGTAAACTTGGAGTTCAATATTACTAGGAATACACAGAATCTAGACATTCACAAGCCTGAAGTGAGGAAGCTCATTTGGGGGACGAATCTCCTTGAAGACTTTCCCAAAGCAACCCACCATTATGATTTCATTGTGGCTACCGATGTTGTCTACCATCACACAGCTCTAGATTCTCTGCTGGATACACTTCACTACTTATGCCAGCCTGGGACAACGTTGCTTTGGGCAAATAAATTTAGATTCAGCACAGATTATGAATTTTTGGACTCAATGAGCAACATATTCAATATTACCCAGCTAGCGGAATTTCCCGAGTCAAGTATCAAGTTGTTCAAAGGCACCATCAAAGGGAATTAAAATGAGGAAGCAGAATCCAGATTGAAATGCAAAAGCCGAGACCTTATCAGAAGAGTCTGACTCTTCAACTTTCAAGACTTAACTCTTTCAATTAGGTACTTATTTGGAGCTTTTCTCAAAGACAAGTTGTTTTAACAAAAGAATAGATACTAGGAGGCCTGGACCTCTTGGTTATGCTTTCCCCCTTAGCTTTGCCCATGTCTAGCATCTGACACATTCTGGCATTCCTTCATTGACGTTTAATTCAGCAGTCCCCAACCTTTTTGGTTTCATGGAAGCCAACTTTTCCACGGACCAGGGGTGGTGGGGGTTTTGGTTTTGCTTGTTCACGTGTCGCTCACCTTCAGCTGTGCAGCCTGATTCCTAAGAGAGTACAGACCAGAGCTCCATAGTCCCGAAGTTGGAGACCCCTGGTTTAATAAATATTTATAAATGAAGGCTTGAAACTCTATGTATCTAATCACATTGTTGGATTAGAAACAGAAAGGAGAGCAGGTCCACTTTTATCCTACAATATGTCCTCATAAACCAAGATTCCCAAGATAAATTGTCATTAGTACATCATGAAAGATGGGAGTTTGCACTACGTCTGATTAGAATACAAGAAAATGTGAGTGTATAGTCCCCTGACAGAGCCACATTGCCTCATAAACCAAGATTCCCAAGATAAATTGTCATTAGTACATCATGAAAGATGGGAGTTTGCACTACGTCTGATTAGAATACAAGAAAATGTGAGTGTATAGTCCCCTGACAGAGCCACATTGCTGAAAAATTAAAACAGATTTCAAATTTATTCGATATTTTATTTTTAAAAAAAATTAAACCATGAGTACTCAAAGCTTTGATATTTAAATCTGCATATTTATTCTGCAGTTTTTTTTTGTTTTTCAAACATTATTAACATGTATGTATAAGTTTTACAATACCTGATTAAGTGTTGACTGACACTTTATACATGCATCGGTTTTTTGCCGATACTTTGCATCATGTGGATATTTGTGAGTATCTCCAAAGTGAAGATATCCAAGAGCACCTTTGCACCAGTAATTCAGAACACATTGTTAGTAAGTGTGGAAGTTATTCTTTTAAAAAATAAAACAAAATGTAAACTCTTGCAAATGATACTGGTAATTAAGTTCTGTTATTAGTAAATCTAATAAATAAGTTTTTAGCTACTTTTGTTGTAGCTTCATTTAAGGCCTTCATACAATTGAAAGTTTATGTTTAAACATGTTAAAATCCTGTTCATTGTAAAAATAACAGCTTGTATAGCCTTATGATTAAAATTACAAACAGTTAAGATCCACACACACATGCAAGAAGCTATTTCACTTTCATTTTCTAAACTTTGGTGCTGGCTCTTCTCAAACATCCATTGCCAGCAATGTGATGTATGCAATAGGTTTTGTGTTTAAATTTTCACTTCTGAAGCAAATGAACTACTCAAGGAACTAAGAATTCAGTTTAAATTCAGTTTGGATCGTGTCTGGACCCAAACCACACAAATATACTGTAGCCCCTTATCCTCTGATTAATACATACGAGTGAAGCATTCAGTAATAGATGAAAAACATGCAATCCAGTAAGTTATATTTAGTCAATATAAGAACATCTTGAATTCACAACTGCAGTATTTTAAAACACACAATAATCAGGTGGGAACATCACAGGAAGCCAGTTTTCACTAAAAGACGCAGAGTGAGTCCATCCGAGTAGCCTCATTAACTAAAAGGTTAAGAACAAAAAAAACCCAAATCTTTTATATACAAGTAAACTTTGTACTAAGCCGAAGTCATGAAAATGAAATTTAATGTATTTAGCTACTAAAATTAGAATACAATATATATTAGACTTTCACTTAGTCAATGATATTTCTAGAAAATTGGTTGTCGTGTTGACAAATTTTATTAGTTTATCAAAATTAAAATACAAAGAAAAATGAAAATAATAGGAAAGTAGGGAAAAGGGAAGAGGAAAAAATGCAAGGTAAAAGAAGAAGAAAAGCACTGACTTTACTTCTAAAAGGTTTTAGTACAGTAGAATAAGATAATAACCTCAACTTTTTACTTTTATATAATCATATATACGAGCCATTTCTGTAACAACAAACTATCTAATCAGCAAAATCCCAAAATCCCTGTTTTGTTTTTTTTCCACCTCAAGCCCAGAGTCCAGAAGTGGTTTCCAAGTAAAAATGTTATTTGTATTTTTTTTTCTTTAATTAAAGCAGTCAATTTAGCTATCTCTGCTAACTTCATTAGCTCCTGCAGCCAGTCATCCCTTGTGGGAATTAAAGTTCATTTTTTGTGCACAGATAGAGCAATCTTGCTGATGTCAGCATACATAACATCAAAATTCCATTTTCCTCCATTTTTTATCCATTAGGCCTAGAAAACTTGTCCTAATTTGATTTTATAATTCTTGAATGTTACTGACACTGGTATACTGATTGAACTGAATTGAACTGAATAGCAACTTACCTGTATACAGTTCTTCAAGTTTTCTTTGGTGGGTTTCTCCTCTGCAAGTTTATTTGCAAATTTGAGACTTCTGCCGTACATCTTGTTTACCAGTGCATGCTTGTAAGCAAAGAGCAAAACCTATAGGAGAGCATTAAAAAATGGAGGTAGACATTTGTAAGCAGAATATAAGTTCTGCAAAGATTAATCATTCAAATTCACTTTTGGAGTCAACAGTAGACAAGTCAGAAACTAGAATAAAAATCGCCTTCAGGTACAGGCACTTATCAACTTATGGCCCCATTGAGCCCAAAATTCCCGTGGTTAAGTGAGACATTTGTGAAATGGGGTTTGCCCCATTTTAGCACCTTGCTTCCACAGTTATTAAGTGAATCACTGCAGTTGTTAAGGTATTAACATGGGCAGGGTTAAGGTGAATATGGCTTTCCCACTACCTGTCAGAAGACTGCAAAAGAAGACCACATGACCCTGGGACACTGCAACCGCCATTAATATGAGCCAGTTGTCAAGCATATGAATTTTGATCATGTGACCGTGAGGATGCTGCAATGTTCATAAGTGTGAAAAACAGTCGTAAGTCACTTTTTTCAGTACCATTATAACTTTGAACGGTCAGTAAATGAACTGTTATAAACCGAGGACTACCTCTCAAGTTCAGTTGACTACAATGAAATGTTGCTTGAGTTATTCCCAGCTGTATAATTCTAAACAGCTTATATTAATGTTATTTTAGGACTTTAAATATATTTTAAAGAATGAGGCATTCATTTACATGATGCTATTAACGTTCAGAGCACCATATAAGGCAGGACATAGTGATAGCTTTCCAATTAAACATGCTTAGATTTAGCTGCAGCAGAATTAGATTACAACAGACTACAGCCAGAGGTTAATTTATTTATGAATCAGATGTACATAACTGTCCATCTCATGACAACGTGTAAGAATTACAGGGATAACATGCCAAAGAAAACTGGTAGAAAGCCACTGCCATTATGTCTTTATAAAAGTTCTGCGCTACTGAATGCATTATGCTACATAAAATTTGAATTACTATTTTGACAGCAGTTCTTGCATGTAAATACTTTTATACAATTTAAATATAAAACACCGGTCTCCACCTAAATTGATGATAGGTATCATAGCCAAAAGATTCCTTTCTTCAACTGGTTCTACGCCTCCCAACATACCTTGCTGTCAAACAGGTCAGTCCATTTTGATGTTTCCCAGAAAGTCTCTGTCAGAGTATTCAAGATGGCTTTTTGGTTATCATCTTTACATTCAGTTTCACTTGATGCAGCCCCTTCCTGGGCCTGTAACTGCAGAAGTTGATCTGATAACGCACATCCTTTCCGACAGAGAGCATCTACTAAGGTAGATTTCTGCTTTTCCATCTCACTATGTGGGAACAATATATATTTCATTTACGTGAACAGGTCTCTTTCATCATACCTATATATGAATTTTTCATAAACTCCTGAATTTCACCATCACACAAAATACACCTGCACCCCTTCTAAGTATATAACATAATATCCTGACTATGATACCACCAGAGGAGATCAACCCAGACTGCTATTTAGAAGGCCAGATCCTGAAGATGAAACTCAAATACTTTGGCCACCTAATGAGAAGGAAGGACTCACTGGAGAAGAGTCTAATGCTGGGAACGATGGAGGGCAAAAGAAGAAGGGGACGACAGAGAATGAAGTGGCTGGATGGAGTCACTGAAGCAGCAGTAGGTGTGAGCTTAAATGGACTCCAGAGGATGGTAGAGGACAGGAAGGCCTAGAAGAACGTTGTCCATGGGGTCGCGAAGGGTCGGACACGACTTCGCAACTAACAACAACAACAACATTTCTAAACTAGAGTAAAGAGTCTAATTACAAAATATTTTTAACTAGGAATCTTCATCAAAAAAACAGCAGTTCTACCCTCTTCAAAGGAAGAACACTAACATTTATTTATCTATTCATTTACTTATTTGATTTACATGGCCACTCATCTCACAAATTCAATTTTGGGTAGCTAGAAATATAGAGAAACAAGAAACAGTATTAACAAGGAGTAAAAGTCTAGCATGGTTGCCGAGGGTAAAACCCAGATAAAACTATTAAGAAAAAGCTCTCAATCTTATTTGCAACCTTCTGAAGGAAGGGTTTTTCAATTTGCTTTTTAAAATACCAGCTTTATGGTTTTACAGTTTATCATTTGTTTTCCCTTTAAAAAAAATTAAGTACTTTTTTGTTACTTGCCATAAACTAATACAAATGTGTAATAACATACAAAGATTTGGGCAGAATTGTTGGCTGGCTGATGGTCTTTGAACATCTATTGCTGCGATACTCTAGAGCAGTGTTTCTCAACCTTGGTAACTCGAAGATGTCCGGACTTCAACTCCCAGAACTCCCCAGCCAGCTTTCGCTGGCTGGGGAATTCTGGGAGTTGAAGTCCGGACATCTTCAAGTTGCCAAGGTTGAGAAACACTGCTCTAGACTTCAATCTTTTCTCCTTGGCAATATCATACCAACCCTAAAAATAGTGTTTTAAAGCATAAAATGCAATTAAGTGTGCTTAGTTTATGATTGTTTTCTTTTCTCATGAATATGAAAACATTTTAGTTTTTTAGCTTAGAAGAGCAGATAACTGCTGAAATAAGATGCAAGGAAAAAAAGTATTTACTGGCTAGGTACTTTTTTATAGTAGCAGCATCAGGTCTGGGATCAGTCTTCATAGCAAGATAAATAGCAAGGGCTGTTTGATCAATATGAGATATCACTGTATTAGAAGCTTCAATTATTTCATTTAAACATTTCATTCGCTCCTGGAAGAAAATGAACAATATTATTTTATTAAATTATTCTCTTCTTTTTTATTGTTGTAGGTCGCCTAGAATAGCCCCATGGCAAGACAGGCAGCAAATAAATTTAACAAATAAATCTGTACAAATGAATATAATACTATGAATATTCAAGTTGATAGGAGAGATGGGAAGTTATTTTGATCCAAAGCAGAAAACATACTTTGAAAATAAAGTAGTGCGTTTACTGTAATTGTCATCATCTATACAGAAAGATAGGCATAAAAACAAGAACTTGAATGGTGCTCTGTAATTCACTAAAATTAATGTTTTGCTGATAATTATTATAGTTTCAGCAGCAAAGAAAACATTCTATAAATCAGAATTCTATTATTGAAACATGTTTCTGGATAGTAAATTGTTTGCTTACAATATTATAGTCAAGTGACATTGAATATGATGGTTTTCAAATCTGCATTTTACCTTTTTTAATGCATGGAATTCTAGGTTGAGCTTATTAAAAAAATAGAGAAATTGGATTTTTTTGAGTTATAAAATGATAGCAAATAAACATATTGGAAAATAACATGTCTAATTCATTTACTCACAATCATATCAAGCCAATACTGTTTTTTCTAGTTATGATTATGTGTTTTGTAGATTTAATAAATAAGCTTGTGGCTGCTGCTATTGTTTTTAAGCTTGAGATCCAGCTCAAAAATAAATCAAATGTGTTCTGCTGAAATGATTCTAAGAGAAGAAAAATTATCAGAAATCTCCACAAAATACTCACTAGTATAATAAATGGAATAAATTCTGGAACAGTTTAAAGGTGTTCAATTAATAACTTTAGTTGATTTAGAGCACTGAATTAGGGACCATTTGTCTATTTGGGGCTTAGAGACGGCTCAGTGGATTTAAAATGAAAGATGTTTTAAAAAAGAAAATGGGCCGCACCTTTTCAGAATCCAGTTGATGAAGTCTTGCGACATATAAGGGGAGATGGTTAGGGAAGGTCTCTTTCAGTTCGTTGTATATATCACTGGTATCAAACCTAAAAATAAATGTATTAATGAAAATGCTAACTCTAGTGGTCTATAACGAAGGCATGGTGGAAAAGAAACACAATTTGCACCAATATGTTGGTTCTTCAAGGACATGATACGGCAACAAAAATCTTAAACATACCTTGTCATCCACTGTATCTTTAAATCTCTTAAAGCTTCTGCAAATTCATTGTTTATATCTTTTTCTGAATCCTTCTCTTTATCCTTGCTTCCATTCTTACTTTTTATTGGGGATGGGATCAAATGATAATGAACTGAAATTATATCCTAGAGTAAAAAGCATAGCTATATGGTCAGAATAAGTATTAATATTTTCTTTCTCACAAAACATACCTTATAAAAACTGAGAAGAGTGTATATGATCATTCAGAACCTTCTGAAGCCTCAGAGGACTAGAACAGATTTGGTCCAAAGAATAGTTCAAATCATCTTAATGATTAATAATCATTCCAGAAATATTTCACATGAGTTGCACCTCAACAAACTGATTAGCCTCAAGTTTAATGTCATATAACCTACATCTTCTTTTGTGGAAAAATACAGCAGACTATTGAAAAAAAAATTAATTGGCATTGTTAACCATGAGACTTTTTTCCTCAGATGATAAGAGTATATGTTGTAAAGCCTAAACCAATCTAAAGCAGGGGTCTCCAACCTTGGCAAATTTAAGACTTGTGGACAGCAAAGCAGCCTGAGGAATTATGGGAGTTAAAGTCCACAAATTTTAAAGTTGCTATGGTTGGAGACCCCTGATCTAAAGTATATTGCTAGCATTCTATTAAGACATGTAGTCTTATTATTGTATTTTATATTAGGATGTGGCCTCATGGCTAATAATATATTACTGTGGTTTCTGAGGAAATTATGCATTATTCAATATTTTAGGCAGAATTTCAATTCAGGTATTTTATTATTCAAAAGGGATTGGATGAAATCATAATATGGTAAAACATACTTAAATATTCAAGCAATAATCATCATAGTTCTAACCTATTCTTTTATTTTTTTTAAAAGATCTGCCACAGTATAAAATGAATATATATATATATTTTACAAGTTAAATTGGAATGATGGATATTTTGACCAATATCTGGTTTTTGGAAGCATAGAATCACATCTTTTAAGGGTCTAAAAATCTCAGTATTTGATAAAACCTTTTAAAAAATGCTGCAAGTATTTCCCTGTTGCCCTATGTATTATTCTATATTACACATTACAATTTACACATGTCTCAGTAAATCTGTGGACATCATGGTGGCATATGAAAAAGAGAATGTACAAAGTCTATAAAAACAGATTGAGATAATATTAATTTGCAAGGTTATGGCTAAAACAGTTTTTCCCAGGGGAAATTTCTTGTGATTAAATAGTTTGGGACAGAGTGGGACAATTCACTGCAGCCAATTCGCCATGGCCAACTCGCCATGGGACAATTGAATTATTTAAGTATGTATGTATGTATGTATGTATGTATGTATGTATGTATCTATGCATGCATGTATGTCATTCACATTTCATTCTGTCCCTATTTTGGCAAGAAAAGGTACTTCTTTTGTCCTACAAATCCGAATTTCTGTATCTTCTTGGAAGATTTTTTCAAAAAGAGCAAACCTTTAAAGAGTTTTTGAAATAAAAGTAAAATTACTTGAGAAAAACCTAAAAAAATGAAATCCAAGAGAAGAGGAACATTTGGAGGAATTTCCTCGAATCTTGAAAAACTATGTCATGCAGTCAGTTGTATCTAATATAAGGAAGAGGTGATTCACTTTAAATGATAACCCCCCCCCCCAAAAAAAAAGCTAACAATATTATGAAAGACTCAGTGGCAGCTTTTGGAGAGTATCTTTACTTAATAAGTCAAAATATAATTAAGACATTTGCCTGTATATCTACTCTCTTAGCCTCCTCCCATCTCATTTGACTCAACAAGAAAATATGGCTACTGTCTTCAAAAAAAGGCAAGATAGTATATCACAGCTTCAATTGTTTGAATCCTGATTTATCCCAGAGTTGGTAATTGAATTTAATGTGCTTTACAATAACAAAAATGTGTAACACACAAACATACATTATACAAATGTATAATATATAAAAATACCATTATTTATAAGGTTGTTCACAAATGACCTTATAAACTCAACTGTGGAAGAAAACCAAAATGTACACATATTGTCCCCACGAGGCCGATTTCTTATATTTCTATAGCAAATCTATATCAGTGTTCTCCAAAGTGGTCAGTATTGACCCATGTGATCTTGGAACTATTCAAGGAGTTGATATTGTTCTTATTATTATTTACTACTATTAAAGTAGTGTATATTTTATGTAATAAATGTTTGGGGATTGGTAACAATCTGAAACTTCTTGAGAGGGTCAATGAACTGAAGTTTGGGGATCCTTGATATATATAATTGACATATCCCAACAAAGTTGGGGTGGCGCAGTGGGTAGAGTGCAGTACTGCAGGCCACTTCAGCTGACTGCTAGTTCGGCGGTTCAAATCTCACCGGCTCA